CCTCAGGGAGATGAGAGAGCAGACGACGTGCAGGAGGGATTCTCTAAGCGAGGCTGTGTTTGCTTTTGGGCTGGAGCAGGAAAACCCACTCAAGGCCCTGGCTTTTTGCAAAGGCTGCTACCTTTGATGCATGATATGGTTCTGTTGAATTAAATACCGAGGGCAATGTTCTTTCCATACCTGAGGCCTCGTATATATATGGTTTCTAACATAGGAAGAGGACTTAACGAACTTCATGTTTTTATGTTCTTCGTTCCATGGTTACGGCATGAGTTATTTCGTTGTATGGTCCTTGCATTTTATACCACACAAACAAAACAAAGATAAGTGTCTTTTTCCGGGAACTATTAACCTACTGTTTGTTGTAGGATTTTACTTTATGTCTCTCATTTGCCAGGCACGTTGAGATTAGCATGTTGCCTACATACAGCACTAAGAAACACAGTTTAGTCTTTAATCGAAGAGATGGCGTGTAGGAGAGATTTATAAGAATTAACTAATATGTAACAGTCCACAAACTATGAAGTTTTCCACTTAATCCCACACACCCCCGAGTGTTTTCATTTACTCCCATACTTTGCTTTATCCAACCCTTCTTTGGGAGCGCGATGACATCCACGCGATACTGACTCTAGAAAAATGCAGGATCCTGGAAAGGCAGTGATTCTTATGAGTAGTTTTATAGAGGCGTTGTAGGTACATTAACTTTACAATGAACATTTTGCCTCAACGGCTGGGTATATTTTTATAAAGAAGTAGTACAACATTTTGCACCTGCTCTCATTCACCATGGAGCGGATGGCCATCGTACTCCTAATGATTTGGATAACTCGCCCCTTTCCTATATTTTTCACATCCCTCTTGCCAGGTCCACCAGTAATTAACTCGGAATATCACAAGAGGTAGAAGGTGCTTACGGGTCAGAAGTGTCTTCACTGACACCGAATGACCTTTGTTCCTAGGACTTAGACCGGCCGTTTGTAGAGCAATTTATACATTTTCTTTAGACCTAGAGTATTAATATCCACACATCATTTTTCCTGACTTGCACTCATCTCGGTCCTGATTCTGTTCAACTAGAACATTCCCAGTAAGCGACGCTCAAAGGCATAGTGAGAGACCTGCATACGGAAACCACACATTCTCCAATTTATAGTCAGACCATTAATCGTTTTTCAACCTAATCCAAGATACCGATCCAAGGTAACGGATAGCGAGCGTCGAAATTTGCCTTCCACAGACATAAACAGTGGAACGGTTCGGCAGAAGTCTGCTGTAAGATTGTTGTACCGAGTCCCTGTCCTTGTAAGCGGATCTGCAAAACTCTGACATTTTCTTTCCTGTCAGTGCCCGCAGGGCACCGTTCTCGCGTGCCGGTTTCCGTGCTGACGCGGCAGCAGCGCGCTGGAAATGTGTGGATGGTCACTTAGAGGAAGCAGGCCAACTTTCTGTCTGTGGATCTTAAAACATTTTGGTCAGAATCACAGAATTTGGAAATGTTCGACAGTAAACTTGTAGCATGGGAAAAGAAAGGAGACACCCATGACCCCACTGCTGTGGAGCTCCCATTGTGGGCCAGCCCTGCATAACAGACCTCGGCCCTTTGTGCACCGTCTCATGTAATATTCATAACGCTGTCTGTGCTATTGCAGGCTCACGGGTCAGTCTCGAAAACTCCGGTGCAAAGATGAACTTTTTTTGTTCCCACCTTTGTTTCCATGGTTCTCAAAACAATCACACGCGCGCACACACACACACACACCCACCCACACACACACACGAGTCCACATTTTCGAAGCCATTTCTCATTCTGCCCCGTTAGCTCCATCAAGAAATTATTATTTTTTTATAATTATTTTTATAAACATATAATGTATTGTTACGTCAGTAAATTATTAAGGTGAGGAGACACGGTCTCTGCCTTCCGCCGCTCAGGGTGCAAGGGCGTGGCGGTTGGCACACAGATCGTTAGAGTAACAGGGGCAGGCCGTCCCGTACCTTGTTATCTGAATGTCGAGTCCAACCCTGTGTTCACATGGGACACTGGAAGGGAGCTGATTTGATTACCCCATGGCACAGACTCAGTCACGGTGATTTTCGAGTGAGCAAGTGGTCAACACTTGCCACGTTTAATAAAATTATTTCTACTTGGGAATTTGAGCCCATGCGGGCCAAGTAATTCTGGGAACTAAGTACTTGCAGCGTCCTGTCCTGTGTACCTTTTGGTGGAAGAGGAGGACTGGCAAACAGCCGTCATGCTGGTTGCAGCTCCCTTCACACCCGGCTTTGACTCCCAAGTTTGGGTTGGACCTCCATGTAGAGATTCAAAAGCAAACAAAGGAGAGCACACCTAGCCGCTCCCAGAAATATGAGCTGTGAAATCGACGAACAGAGAAAAGCCTTAAGAATGGATGCTTTTGGTGTTACCGAAGTTTTAAAAAAGTTAACTGGCTACAGATGGGTGACACTTCAGTACTGAAACCGTGACCTTCCTTTGTAAGTTGTACCTGGGAAGTTCTTCGATCGAGACCCTCTTTGACCGAGGGTGAATAATTTATTTGATGTCCGCGATTGCCGTCTAGACTTTGGGGTTGCACGTTTTCTAGGTAGCGTTTCCAGTTGTCCGCCTTGTGTTAGAGTGTGCGCTCTTCCCTTGTATTTAATGGTCACACGGAGTTGGCTCCTCAGGAACATTAAACATTTCTGACACTTTCAGAAAGACCGCGTGTCTATCAGGGAGCACCCGCGTCTGGAACGGGACGCACATGTTTCTCGCTCTGACGTAGATTTTCATTTAATTCCGTTAAAATGCACATGGTGTAGCATTTACCGTCATAACTCTTATACAGACTTTTAATTTTTATTTCTTAAGATTTAGGTACTTTAGAGAGAGAGAGCACAGGAGCAGGGGGAGGGGTAGAGCCAGAGGGAGACGATCTTCAAGCAGACTCCCCGCTGAGCTCAGAGTCCGACCCCGGGCTCCATCCCAGGACCCTGAGACCGTGACCTGAGCTGCAACCAAGAGCTGGACGCTTACTGACTGAGCCCCCCAGGCGCCCCCATAGTCAGATTTGATGCAGCATTGTTTGGGGGAAGGAGGCAGGAGAAGCACAGTGGAACAGTTTGCGTTGGTGACGGGGTTAGCCGGGGCTCCCGGCATAGGTCCTCGAGCTGAAGTTACCAGGCTTGGGCTTTTCAAGGAGATTTCTGGTCACCATCAACATGCAAAATAGCGGCCTGTACTTAACCCTCTACCTTGAAGTGAGTCAGAGACCTTCCTTTGTCTCCTCCCTTAAATCAGGGAGTTGGGCGATAGGGAGGTTTTTTCCTTTCCTTTTTAGCCCCTTCTTAACATAAGTCTCCCACTGCGTGAGACCCTCTCTGGCTGATGGTCCCCCTGCCGGCCTCCCTGCGGATTACGTATCTGGCTGGAGGGTCAGACTCCCAACGGTGAGGCGTCGCGGGCTGCGGCCCGCAGGCCTTACTTATCAGGTGTCACCGGATGGCAGAGAGCCGCAGTCCAGCGACAGCAGGTGTTACCGGGCGTTACACAGGTGTTCCCCAGGTGTGACCAGGCTCTCCCAGGCCCGAGTCCCGGCGAGTCGTCAATGGGAGCAGCCGGCTGGCACGTAGCCCCGCGGTGCTCACCTTCTACCCCTGGTTTACGCTCACCTGTGCTACCATCTTGATTTCTTACATCCCCGACTCGGATTTGACATCTGACCACAAACGATGTGCCCTCCTCGAGGATGGCCTGCTCCCTGTGTGGAGAAAGCACAGGCCTTCCCCAGAGCGCCGAGGCTGCTGTTTGCACTGCTTGGGGGTCTGAGCTGTCACGGCCAGCAGAACCCGGCCTCACTGGGGTCCCAGTGAGCTATCAGGGCAGGAGGAGGGGTAGGCTGAAAGTTAGGGTGATCATGATGCCTGATTGTCAGCCACCATCCATCAGCAAAGGAAGGGCCACCGTGGGAGGTCATTCCTCTGTCCCTGGTGGTGAGGCTCCTTTTAGGGACCCTCAGCAGCTCCCACTGAAGTGGCAGAAAGAAGCCCTTACCCCCTGGTTGCTTCTCATGTTCGAGCGGTAACCGAATGCTGTCCTGAACCGTATTTTCGAAGGAGAAAGATGCATTTGGTAACGGGTTCTTGCCACTCCTTGTGCTTTTTCCGTAATGCGAGTTTCTCAAAAAATCCGGGAATCCTCATCGTCATGAGTGTGTGATTGATTCTGGGCTGCCCTGAAATGCCGTTGGCCAGATGCTCTCCAGAACCGGGCTGTGTCACACACGTAACCCTGACCCTCATTCTCCCACGGCATCCCTGACCGATAATTCCATCACGATACGAGGTCCCGTGTGCACGGTAGCTCTAGAAGCCGGTGTTACTAAAACCGGTTCAGTGAACGGAGGCTTAGAGCAGCTTTTGACAAGACAGCAGCTGGCGTCACTGCTGTGAGAACCGCCCCGTTTCTGAAGACGCACAGCGAAGGCGTCGTGAGTACCGTTGACCACACAAAAGAAGTGACTCGGTAGAGAACGACAATCCGCGTGTGCGTGCCGTAGTCCCAGAGGGGCCCTCCATGGTTCCGAGATGCTTTACGAATGCATCAGCTGTGTGAGCTCGGAGTGGCCACGTGCAGGGTTCCTGCGTATCTGTCCGGTGCGTACAAAGTTACCACCCGCGGGCTGGATTCCTTTCCAAGATTAGCCTAAAATATTACTTCTTTGGGGGGAAAGAAAACAAATCGTTCACTTTGTAAGACATTCCAAGGACCTTTTCACCAAATAAGAATTGTCACCTTCCTTTCTGAGGTCTTGGAAATCGGGCGTTCTGTGTCTGTAATAAGAGAACTTTCCTTTTCGGGGCTCCCGGCTGGCTCCGTCAGGGGACCACGTGACTCTTGATCTTGGGGCTGCACGTCCGGAGCCCCACGTTGGGTGTCAAGGTTGAGTAAAAAAAAAAAAAATTCTTAAAAAAGAGAATTTTTCCTCTTCTGTCTTCAGCCTCTGTTCCCCAAGAAGAACTACGAATGCTTGACGAGCTGTGAGTTCCTCAAGTACGTCCTGTCGGTGAAGCAAGGGGACTGCCCGGCCCCTGAGAAGGCCAGCGGGTTCGCCGCCGCCTGCGTGGAGAGCTGTGAAGCCGACAGGGAGTGCTCCGGGGTGAAGAAATGTTGTTCGAACGGGTGTGGACACACCTGCCAGGTGCCCAAGACCCTGTACAAAGGTAAGGGGCAGAGCCCACATGAAGGGAACGTCATTAACTCACGGGGGCAAGTGCTGCATGCGCGGGGAAAGGGGTCGGAGATGGGGGTGTGTGTGCGTGGGGATGAGGGTCAGTCCAAGAAGGCACCATTGCAAGAGAAGAGAAGCGATCAGAAAATGCCCTTTGCGCCACACAGACCATCTGCCAGTGTTAGTGGACCCGCCCGACGAGCCCCGGGGAACTCCTTCCAGGGCAGAACCAGTCATTCTTATTCAGCGGGCCGTGTAGGAAGCAAACTTCAATCCAGTACTGGTCCTTTTGTCCACAAAGAGTAAGTCACTTAAGTGGCCCTGGGGACATGGGAGCAAATCGACGGAAATCCCTGGAAAGTAGGCTGCGGGGGGGAAGCACCCTTGAAAACGCATGCAAAGGCGCGGGTGTCGTGGTTTTCCTGTTGGCTCCGTGCAAGGCCACCAGGGTCACTGTGTGGACTTTCAATACCGTGGTTAGTGTCTTGCGAGCCCAGACAGAGGAATTGCTCTCTTTCCAAGGTGGGGACTCAGTGTACCCAACCATTGAGCGGACGTAAGAGTTGACGTTCCTAGGCAGTTACTAGAGCCCTTAACTCCCGGTGCTCAGCGACAGTTGCCTCTGCCGGTAACGGCGACCCCGTTCTTTTAAGCCAAACCGCTTCTGTTGTGCTATGGCCCGTTTTGGGTACACTCAGAATATCCCAGGACACAACATTTTGCTGCTTTTTGACATCTCGTACGGAGAGTCAAATAGAATTCATCACTGGGCGCCGTTCACGGCGAGTACAAAGAAGATCTCTCTCCTCCTCTCTCTGACTCACAGCAAAGATATATGATGTCCAGATACAGGTCGGTTATTTTAAACCGCGTGAAACCGCACGGGCAGTGAGGCCCGCGTTGAATCACGTGCTGGCTGTCCTCCGACATCTGCTCTCACTCACGCAACAGCCCCCGTCTCCCAGAACGCGCCCGTCCCTGCCCTTTCCCTTAGGCGCTCCCTTAGGAATTATTCTCGTCTCAAAGCTGGGTAGTCCGTCCAGTTTTCCTGGTTTCTGCACAAGAGCTGGGGACACCTGGCGCAAGGATGACATCTCAAATTCAAAGTAACTGCCGCTTTCCCCTTCTTGCCAGGTGATGTTTCTTTAATGGATTTGAAGTTTCATCGTGTTCACGCCTCTCATTATAAACGATGTAAAATCACTTTTGCAAAACCGAACACCTTTTAAGTTTTCCAAAGTCTATTATTAGGAAGCCCTTTCTGTTATTACAGATCATTTACTATGTAAGTATTAGCATTTACCATAAAAATAGGATGCTTTTAGAAGGACTATTGAAAAGGCATTTGTAAAACCCGTAGTGTTTTAAAGTGCGGTGTTGTAAAGAGGCAGTATAAATTAAAAGATGCTTTTTATTTAAAAATGATGAAGCGTCAGTATGCATTTCAGGTATGTCTGGTTCACCAGGAATAAGGGAGCTCTTCTACAAAGGGCCTGCATCAACGATTAATTATTAAGAGACTTGCAATTTAAACCTACGCTTAGCTAAATAGGACGTTTTTGTTGTTGTTTTTTTAAGGCCTAAAGTCCCTCTTCTATAAAGTAGCTCTTAACTTGGGTTCTTTGCAGAGACAGGCTGTTCATGGAGAATTGACTAGAAATAGAACAAACAGACGTGACATTGACCTGACGATGCCTTTTGGGTAGTGAGCCTTTGCGCAATAGCACTGGTGTTTTGAAAATAAATATATATATGTCTCCCCCTTTGCCCTGTGGGGCAGTCCCTGAAGGAAGGCTGGTTTCCCTGTCCGGGGCGGGTGCGTCTCACAGGACCACCGGGTAGCCGTGTGTGAGCCAGCGCGGGGCCCGCCACAGCCTGCGTGATGCTCACGGCCACGTCGTAGGTCACGAACCCCCCACAGCATCCCGTCACGGTCCTGCCCGGAACTCACACTGTGTGCTCACTCTCAGGAGAGGGCTGTGGCATTGATGGCTTGTGTGTCTCAGGGAGAGGGTCCTTCTGGACCCAGCCCTTGGCCTCGCAGGGACAGACACGCTTCCTCAGCCGGCCATTGTGCACACATATCACTCTGAGCTGTCTGTGGAGGACCAGCCGTCGCCGTCCTCCTCGCCGGCATGCTCCCCTGTCACTGCCCCGAGCCACCCCTCGGAGATCCGCTCGCCCTCCTCTCTCTGCTCCTGCGAGACCTGTGCCATCTTTTTCCTTAGGAAGGAGCGCCACCTCCCCGGTGGGGATGACTGGGTCCTGCTCCCAGGCCACGAGGGCTGAGGCTGAAGTTACAAGCCGTTGCTCGGGTGATTTGGTTGTTGGGAGCAGGAATGTGTGACCCTGGCTCCCAGCTGGGCCCGCTGTCCTCCTGCTTTCATTTTGAGCCTATCCAACGGTCATATTTGACCCTAAATCATGGTATCGATATAGTATAGGTCAAGCAAAAGATGAATCCGTGTCGACTATTTTATTCCGATAAAATCACTAATGTGTCAGTGGTTACGTAGATCAGGTATGTCCTTACCAAGCTGGTCATGCACGCAACGCTCGTTTGGGCACAAATAAGGATCGCAACTTTTGCAATAAATTGGTATGTACCCACCCCCATCCTATTTTTTCTTGTATTGCCTATTGGGTTAGTTAAAAATTTTGAAATACAGAAACACAAGCATCGTGTTGGGCCTCCCGTGTTTGTGTATGGAAGATGGCGGACGTACCTGATCTATGTACTTGAGCTTATTTATTTATTTATTTATTTGAGAGAGAGAAGGGGGTAGGGAGAGAGGAGGGTGGCTGGGAGGGGCAGAGGGAAAGAGAGCTCTAAGCAGACTCCACACTGAACACAGGGTCCCACGCAGGGCTGGATCTCACGACCCTGAAATCATGACCTGAACTGAAATCTCACCCAACCAACTGGGCTACCCAGACGTCCCAAACTTAGCTTTTAAAAACTATGCCTATTTTGAAAAGATGTTCCACGGAACGCATCCTGTTTGAGCATTTAATTTGGTTTATGCTGGAAGAATTGTCTGCACCTGATGCCCCTAAGTGAACCGTCCTCGGTGTCAGAGTTTAAAACAAAGGAACGCAACACAGAGTTTTCACTTCGGACTTCACATAAAATCATTAGCAGCTTCCTGCAAGACGTGTGAACGTCAGCCTGGGTAAAGGCCACCCGAGCTGCCGGCTCCCGGTGACGTGGGACTCAGCGTCATTGCGGGAAGTTTAAGAGGCTGCTTCTCCGCAGGTGTAGGACAGAGAACGATGCCTGTCTGGACCCTTGGGTTCCCTTTGATCCTCCCCCTGGCCTTCTGGAGGGCCGATTTACAGTCAACTCTCCTCCCTCCCGAAGATGATGTATTATTTTACGGACCAGACTTCTGTTTCTCCTGACCCCTGCCAAGGCACTTGCTTAGGGTAGGGCAGGAGAAAAGCTGAACCTGTTTTCTGCATGTAAAGACCGAGATTAATCTGTGGCTCTCCGTCACCTCCCTTTCTCCCTGTACCGTGCGTAGACCAAAATGAATCCCCTATAAGTTTGTCTCCAAATGAACTGGAAAATCTGATCATGTTGTGGACTTAATATTTGTGTGACTAACTTCATATTTGAAATATTGAAACTTTACGTTTCTAGTGATGGACTCATCCCACTACTCGGAAATCTTTTTTTTTTTTTTTTAAGCATTTTGCATACAGTGACCCAGTACCTTAATGGGATAGGAACGGAAATTCCAGAGTACTGATGGCCTCTAGCAGACACACTGTCTGGTGCTTAATTATTGAGTCATTGGAACGCTGTGTCTTGCTACATTTGCATAGCATTTAGACTTCTGACAAACATTTTTTTTAATAGATTTTATTTATCTGGTTGACAGAGAGATCACAAGCAGGCAGAGAGGCAGGCAGAGAGAGAGGAGGTAACAGGCTCTCCGCGGAGCAGAGAGCCCGTTGTGGGGCTTAATCCCAGGACCCTGAGACCATGACCTGAGCCAAAGGCAGAGGCTTAACCCACTGAGCCACCCAAGCGCCCCCTGACAAACATTTTTATGGGAATAATCAGTTCTCATGATTTGCAACTGCTGATTCTGATCACTGACTTTTCTATCACTGTATTTTCCCAGATTTTTAAATCACCAACTTTCACCACAATCCTTGTGATGGTATAGACAATGCACTCATATTGCCACGTATTGCGGGACATTATAGGATCCCATTTTTGACAAAAAAGCGTGGATTTCAGATGACTCCTTTGTTCAAAAATAACTCCGAGAACAAAAAGTCTAGTCATTTCCATGAGAAAGAACGCACCCAGGAGCTGTGGGTTTTGCACATCTGGTTACACAACTGGGGTGCTGGGTGAGCTCCCAGCCCTGTGCAGAAGGCCTGGCAGTGGGGGCTGCGGGTCCCGGGGGCTTGGGGGCCAAGCCCCATCTGCTCACAATTACAGCCGAGCGCTGGACTTACTTCCAATCAAGGCAGCCAGCTGACCCTGATGCAAAGCAGATGGGCCATTTCTCAACATGCAAATCGTAAGATTGTTGCACATAACATGCAAATCGTAAGATCGTTATACATAATAACTGAAGAGGTTGTTAAAGGAAGAAGTGCGAACTGACATCTCTGTGATGTTCATTGTGTGTTCATTAAGGCTCTCAGTAGTTGAAGATGTGCAAGATTCAACCTTCGTGGTAGCAAGGGGATTCCGGGGCTTGCTCTGCTGCTGCTGAGTTCAGGGTACTTCAGTGGTACCAGCATTTCCAGGGGCTGGATTTACACGAGGGGATTCTACCCAGGAGAGCCAAGGAGAAGCGGGCACTGGAAATCTCAGAGACTGTGCTTGATGAGTTTAGAGAACTGACCAGCCATCTTCTCTTTATTGTGCACAGGGAAACCCCGTGAATCACGAAGCGTTCTCCGAGGCCACGCTCTCTCCAGATACGCCCTTGGTAGAAAGCATGTCTAGGGCCCTCCTGGAAGGCAGATGTGATACAAAGCAATCGTTTTGACATTGGTTTTTCCTCCCTTGGAGCAAACTTTGGTATCTTTTTTCCTCTTTTTTTTTTTTTTAAGATTTTATTTATTTATTTGACAGAGAAAGAGCGCACATAAGTAGGCAGAGAGGCGGGAGAGGGAGAAGCACGCTCTCCAGTGAGCAGGGAGCCCAATGTGAGACTCGATCCCAGGACCCTGGGATCATAACCTGAGCTGAAGGCAGCTGCTTAACCCACTGAGCCACCCAGGTGCCCTGGTACCTGTTTTGCTCGATCTAAGTCTTTAGAGAGCTACATCTGGATGAAAACTCATCAGCATACGTTGAGATTTCCATCCTATTCGGAATTGTCAGGAATTGGTCTTTCTCTAAAAAAAAACTAGGAACATTCTGACAGTGCGATAAAACTATTGATTCCGTCTTGTAAACTTACTAATAGAGTTTTATTGTATTATTACTATTTGCTTTTTAAAAATGTAAGAGAAAAAAAAATGTAAGAGTAAGCGCGTACCTGCGCTAAGTGTTCTCCTTTCCCTAAGGCGAGTGCCCGCCTGCAGGGAGGGCTTGGCCGTTGGTGCAGAGATTGGGTCACTGTTTCCGTACCCTCTTATTTCCGCAGATACATTCTCGAGTGCGGAGTGGGACGGTGGGTTAGGCTGTAGTACTTCAGCAGACGTTTCCTGAGCACGTGCTCTCGCAGCATGTGCTCCCCTGGGCCACTGTGAGGCGTGGGAAGGAAGGAGACCTGTTCCTTGAGGGCTGCGACCCCGAGCTTCCTGGGCAGGACTGATACCGTCCAAGGGACTTCTGCTGTAAAAGGCAGCTCGATGCACATTTGAGCAGTTACAGGCTAAGGTTCGAAGAGGGGGCAGGAGAATGCAAGTTTTGATTTCCACTTTGGGAGGTTTGGGGTAAGCAGCTCTGAGCAGTGGCCTTCAGTCTGAGCCTGGACGTGGTCACGTGTCCATAGTCAGAAAGTAGGAGGAAAGACATTTCGGACTGAAAATTGCTAGCAGTAGCCAGAAGTACCTGGTGTTGTGTTTCCAGAAAAGGGGGTTTAAAAGCAGATTGTGCGACACATATGTGACATGTACCTGAGTGGAAGGATCGCCGGTGGCCGGTCACAAAGGTGGTCTGATGAGATACGCGGGACGTGACAAGTGTTTGTCCCACAGGAAACAGGGTGCACATCCATAGTCAGAGACGGTGGGGGAGACCATCTGTCCTCTAGTTTAGGAAAATCATCATCACAGAATACCGTGAAGAGGGAACAAGAGGAAAAGATGGGCCTGTGGGAACATGGGATGGGAGGCTTCCCGGAACCGCTGTCTGCAGTCCAGTGAAGAGATGGGTCCAGTGGGTTCAGGAGCAAGTCAAAAGGTCTCTTAGCTATCCACAAGCATGGAGCAGTCATGAAGATTTCACCAGGGGAGGGGACATCCGTGGGACGGCCACTTCAGTCTGGACTTGTGTGGAGAAGTCCTTTCAGCAGTGGGTCCCGCAGCACCGATGAGGACTGTGGACAGACCCGAGGACCCCCTTGTTTAGCAGAACTACTCCAGGCGTCAGAGTAAACGGGTCCTCATGTAAGGTTGTACTCTGTGAAGAAAAGTTTATGACTCGAACTTAGAAGCACCCTCACGCCGTGGCAGAAAGGGAGACCCATTCCATGCCAAGCGGGAACATCAAAGACATTGGGATCGGAATCTTTCAGGGATGTGTAGAGCTGTGACAACTGCCTCTCTTCTGTACTTTTCTAAGTGGCTCTTCTAATTCAAAAATGTAGAAGGCAGCAGGGAACTCGGAGAGAAAGCTGAGATCAGGTCATGGCTCCTGGCGAGTTCATCTTCCCAGACTCAGTTACTTGATGTCCCAAATGTAGACCATTAACCCTTCCCCTCAGCACAGACTCACAGGGAGGGTTCCTTGAAGCACCAGCGTTCTAGGAAAGGACCAAGTGGAGACCCGACCCATCAGCAAATTGAAACAGTGCAGCGTGGCGGGGAGTGCGTCTTCTAGAAAGAATTGTGTAGACCTCACTGACCTCTGGCCAGATTTATTTGCTGCCGTTTGAAAATCCTGCAGCTCCCCCCACCTACACGTGTAAGGGCTTGAGAATGTCCCCCAGACAAGACTTGGCGTGATGAAGACCCAGACAGAAATCAGAGTTGATCCTCAGTGACGTCACTAACCTACATCCGATTGTGTCTACATTTTGATTTTGCACATTGTTCAGTCTCCTTTCTGCTTACCTGGAAGGAATGGGGAAAGCAATAGAGCGTTGTCAAACGCCGTGTGCCAGTGAGTAGTCAGCGCATCGGGCAGAGATACCGCACATCGTCAGAAGCAACGGGTATTAGTGGCGGCTGGCCTTGCGGGTTCCGATGGCCCCGGGCTTCACGGTACTGTGGCCTCTACCTAATCCATCCGCTCTCCATCCATACACGTGTAGAACTCGGTTTTAAACTTCCCTTTCCATAATGGCTGTGATTTCGGACTCCGGTTCTTAGGGCCGTCAGCTGCCAGGCCACTTGCCGGCACTGTGGCGGGGAGAAGGAGATCAGGACGATGAACTACTTTCAAATGAGACACCCGTGAGGGACTTTTGAAGCAAGGCGGTCACTCGTGCCAAAACCAAACAGTATAAATTTATCATTTTCCCATCTTAAACTCTAAAGTCTATAGGAGAGAGTCCCTCAATCATTTGGGGAATGAAAAGATCCGTGCTTTGGAAATCATTCTTGTAAGGTCTGACCACAGGAGAGCATGTAGCCTTGTGATGTTTTTCCCTTAAAAGGCAAACGTTCTGAGGCAGGAGAGGTGAGCAAACCGGGGAGGCCCATTACGATGACGTTAGATGCTCTTCGTAGACAGAGCGCGTGTCGAATGGGGACAGGGTCTTCAGAGCTTCCTGACTGTGTCCTCCTGTGAATTCCTAGTTAACCTCCAGTCACGTAACTGCGTAACATTGTTGATTCCAAAGAATGCTCGTAAAAGAATTGCTCTCGAGATGATTGGGGAAAAAAATATTCTTGTTTCAAATCATGACCCAATTTAGAGCCTCTTTAGAAACAGGGAAAGCTAAAAGCAAAGGAGCTGATACTCTTGAAAGACTGTGGGGGCTGCTGACCTTGCCCTGGCAGGGACGAGCCACTTTTCTGGAGGGAAATGGGGATCCGTGGTCCTGACATGAGATGGGCCTTTTCTAGAGGTTTTCTTCCTCTGCGTGACCTGCCCTGGCATCCCACGCTGATTGTTTTAATTGCCGTACTTCTGTTTCAGGGGTGCCCCTGAAGCCCAGAAAAGAGTTACGATTTACAGAACTACAGTCTGGACAGCTGGAGGTTAAGTGGTCCTCAAAATTCAACATTTCCATCGAGCCTGTGATCTACGTGGTGCAAAGGAGGTGGAATTACGGAATCCATCCTAGCGAAGACGACGCTACGCAGTGGGAGACGGTGGCCCAGGTAAGTGGTCCCCCCATCCTTGATGTACTGCCCGCTGCACACACCCTCGGCGGGCAGCCAGCGTTGCCTCTGCTGGAAGAGGCCACCTGCCCAAATGACGTGGGTGTGGACGTCCTGGCCCGCGTGTCTGCAGAAGGCAGGATGCACTCCAGAGGTAGACACCGGTGCAGCTGGAACTTGATTCGTGGCTTCCTTTGCTTGAAAGACGTGTGCCAGGGAGATAGTTCTGTGAGGGACCCCACTGCTTTCCTCCCAGAAGTGTATTTCCTTGAGATAAATGTAAAATCCACCCGAGGAAGAGAAATGCACCGGCACTGGGCACGTTCATGTGACACCGGATCGCCTAAGCGATTCTGGTTGTCCTACACGGAGGCCTCCATTCCGCACAGGGACGTGAGTAGCACAGAGTGCGATGGTGGTCCCGCAGGGCTGGGTGGGCATGACCGGCCGCTTCTCGCCCAATGGACTACGAGCTGCAAGAAATCCACAGGGTTTTAGAGAAAGAGAAGATTCTCCACGATATGCAGCCTCGGTGCCGTCTCCACGTGTGTCTGCGGGCAGAGACCCTGACCGGGCAGGGGGCCGGGCTTCAAGCTGCCAGACTCCTGTTGGTCCTCTCAGTAAACACAAAATAAATTTCAGGACGCAGGTGTTGCAGGAGGACTTTGGTGCTTTACTAATAGTCGTGTCTCAGAGAGGAGACACATGAAAATAATTTACAGACTCCAAAGGAAATGAGCAATTCGAGGTATAAAAAGCAAATTAGTGGCAAAAAAAAAAAAAGAAACCTGGTCAAATAAATTTAGTGATTCTATTTCATGTGTATTCTGTTAAAAAAAAAAAAAGTGTGCCTTAAAAAAACCTGAAGATGTCTGGCATACAGCCTAAAAGTCTCTTTGATTTACGTGGTGTGCTTCCTTAATGGTACAATCTCACTTGTAAGTTTTCCAAATTATTTCAAGATTTATGACCGTCACTAACAATGAGATCAGCTCCTTTCTCCCTGCTGCTCTGGAGAGAGGAAGGGTCTTTAATTATTTTCATTAGTTTCACTGGCTCACGTCATCCTTTGTCGTCCCTCAACCTTCTTTCCTAAACGCTGTGGGGCTGGTGCTGACTTCAGGTTTTTAAATTCAAGGCCAGTAAGAGCGAATGTGGAAGCCGGTGAGACAATCCCCTTGCATTCCTCCAGATGAGGCAGAAAGCCCCACAGAGGAGTTCACAGCCTCTGCTTTCAGACACGAGAGCAGAGGTGACGGCCCCTTTCAAGAGGTTATTACAGAGGTGGATTTGGGAGCGTTTCCGTTCAGTCTCACTTGCCCGTGCCCCCCCCCCCCCCCCCGAGCACGGGCCGAGTCAGCCTTGGCCAAGGCAGCCAACGAGGCACCTTCCCCAGTGTCCAGTTTTTTCCTATTGACATTGTCTCGGACGGAGAGGTCTCCGCACACCTCCCTTAGAGGACCACGACCAGGTCCTTGTACTCTTACCCATTTACTCAAACCGGGAGGAAAGGCTTGGGGTGCAACGTACGTCCCCAAATGGTCAGCGTCCTTTGACGCGTGTAGGTCCTCCTCCTGACTTCCAGGACGGTCGTTAGCAAGCACGTTCAAGAGGCATTTTCTGTCTGTAACAGAAGATGGTTTCATCTTCTTGCCTATCATGCAATGAGTAGCTCACATAGGTATCCGCTCAGAGGTGTAACTGAGACGAAAGCCCCTCGTGGGTTTAAAGCTGCGTGAAGTCACCAGATGTAAGTAGCCCAGGCACGATCATATCGTGGGCTCCAGAGATCTTTAAGTCTTTGGGGTGAGCTTCCTAGCAGTGCAGTTAAACACCTGAAATGCCCTAGAAATTCCCTGCCCCCCCCCCCCCCGCCCAGCTCTTCTCATAAGGGAGCATGATGACTGCACTTACCCCAAGGGCACAGGGAGCTCAGGGCGACCTTGCGTTGGCTCAGACGGTGGTGTGCCTTTAAGGCCCGCCCGACTGACCCGTCTGAGTGAGACGGCTGACTGTGTTCTGCGACGTTTCTCTGCAGACCACCGATGAGCGGGTCCAGCTGACCGACATACGACCCGGCCGGTGGTACCAGTTCCGAGTGGCAGCTGTCAACGTGCACGGGACCCGGGGCTTCACGGCCCCCAGCAAACACTTCCGCTCCTCCAAAGGTCAGTCTCGCCCCGTAGACCCCAGGCTCACCCCTGGGGTGCAGAGCTGTGCTGTCCGTACTGTTGGTCGGCAGGTGGCTCTTCTTGACACGGTGGTTGCCCTGAGTGTGAGTTAATCTCTTACGCTTCATCACATCCAGAGTTTAAACCTGGGGTCCCTGTGCCATTGCAGTAATATTGTTCCTTTCTTATCTCGTTGCTGTTGGAAAGCCTCTGCAATCCAGCTAATACGAAGGCTGTGACCTGACAGGTGAGTTTCGTGTGTGCGCTGGGAGGACGTCCCAGGACTCGGTACGGATCATGCCTCCATGCGAGCTTTCTCTCCGGCTGTGGGCTGTGCGCCCTCTCTGTGCACTACGTCTGCTGTAGGATCCCAGGTCGCGGCGTGGGGCTAGTGAGCCCCTTCCCGGACTCGCCCACTGTGCTCCTCCTCCGTGGAAAGTGGTTGAGCTGGATTTCAGAGAAAACGCTTGTGATGTTAGTGAATGATGTAAGACGTGTCCCCTCAGCCCTGTGTCTTTCGTTACGGGAGGGTCGGAACTTTCTGTTCTCACTTGCCCTTTCTCTTGTCGCCTCTCTATGTCATTTTGCAACCCTTTGTCGATGACCTCGCTGGCCTCAGAATTGGAAAGCTTGCAACAGAAGCCATTTAATATTTGGATTCTATTATTACACCTTACATTGTATACTTTTTTAAAAAGATTTTATTTACTTGACCCACACACAGGTCACAAGCAGGCAGAGAGGCAGGCAGAGAGAGAGGGGGAAGCAGGCTCCCCGCTGAGCAGAGAGCCCGATGTTGGGCTTCATCCCAGGACCCTGAGATCATGACCTGAGCCGAAGGCAGAGGCTTAAGCCACTGAGCCACCCAGGCACCCCATGTTGTACACTTTTAACTTTTAAAAAGACCTTTTAGGAAAGGAAAGGTGCGTTTTTTTCCCATCCACAGAGGCATGTGCACTGAGCAAATTTGAAAGGGCCACTAGAGACCTCAATCCTTGTCTTGAGACCGTGTGTGCAATTGGTCTGACGAGTTAGGGAGGCGAAGGAGAGAAATCACAGCAGTGGGTTCAGAGGTGAGGGTCCGTCAGAGGCCCGAGAACTCTTCGCCTTGGTGTCACGGTTCAGATGCGATGCAGGCATGTTGTGGTCGGTTGTGTTCCCTTCTGCTCGCTCGCCTGGTGCCGTGTTTTCGGGTCACGGCTGCAGAAACGGACAGCAGGCAGAGGCCATGGCTGGCCTTTGGAGACAGATGTGGAAAATCTTTAGGGGATCTGGGCAGAGCCCCACTGACCGTTCCCAGGGTCAGTCATGTGGCTGCCAGCTGCCTCAGAGGCCTCCATTCTGAGCAAGTCACAAAGCCTTGCTGCCCCGATGCCTCTGGTATATCTGCACACCTGAATGGTCCAGAAGTAGAGCTGCACCCCTCAAGTTGAGAGGGGCTTTTGTTGAATGAGAAAGCACCGTGCTGGGGAAGCCCAGCATTCACCAGGACACTCTGTTCGATTTCCTCCCTTTCCAAGCACGCCCAACACCGAGCCTTCCAAACTCTCGTCCTTGCTGTTTTTGCAAACTAAAAATGTCTGCGCAGAATTCACAGTAGAGCTCTACGCTTTTGCCCGTGAAGAGACATCACGGGATTGTGGGAATGGAAGAGATCCGCTAAATGACTGAGGACATTTCCTCCAGGATTTGTCTAAAGCAGCCTTGACCGTTGACAAGATGGCACCACATCCTTTGTGACCTTACTCAGATCTCATTATATGGAGAAATGGGGCTCATTGGGAAAACAGTGTTTGACAGCATTAGTGAAATAGAATGATCATGCCATTAAATTCAATTCCTCTTACGTGTACAGCCCACGCTGTACGTTTCTGCTACATGTGGACATGTGAACTACCGCCGTCCACTCCTAGAACCCACCAGGAGCCTTCATGCCTTCCTGGGGGAACTTTAAAGTAGAAACAAAGTTAGTTTTGAGTCTTTCCCTTCTCATCACTTGTGTGTCATTCCCTTTGCATTAAACGAACATTTGTTGAGTGCTTATGGGTGTCAGGCACTGGTCTAGGCACAGGGGATAACGAATGAACAAAAGGAGAAAAGTGTCTGCTTTTTTGGAACACACACACACTTGGGCCAATCGGGAGTATGAGGAAAGAGTCAGCAAGATTAATAAGTAAAATACTGTTGTATGGCAGGGTAGGTAGCGACAACTCATGATAAAAAGAAAGAATAGAACATTGGAGATGTTGTGGAGGGTGTATTTTGTTGTTAGTTTTAGGGAGGGTGGACAGAGGTTTTGGTGAGAAAACGATGCTGTGGAAAGGAGGGGGAAGAGTAAGCCTCGTGCCAGTTTGAAAGAAGAGCATTTTGGTTCCTGGAAGCAGTTGGTGCAAAGGTCCTGAGGCAGGAATGAGCTTGCCATGTTTGTTGAAGAGTTGAGCAGTGGAACAGGGCAGGTGAGCTGGAGATGAAGTGGGTTTGTTGGGTCTTCATCGCCTTTGTAAAGAGCACGGTTTTTATGCTGCGTTAGGTACCAGGAACCGCTGAGAGATGCTGAGCAAAGAACATGATGTGACTGAGAGTTTAGTGGGGCCTCCCCAGCTGTTGTATGAACAGGAGAGAAGAGGGGAGAGGACATGGAATCAGGGATGCGGCGGAGGCCTCTGCAGCGTTCCTGGTCGAAGGTGATGGCCATTTGGATGAAGTCAGGAGTGAGCCATGCGGGGGACACACGTGGGGGAGGGTACAGCGGACAGCACCTGAGATGTCGCCAGTGGCTCGCAGGACATGCGGAGGACGCAGACTGGCTGTAGGGCTCCCTTGTCCCAAACTCCTGGAGGAGCAGCATTAAGATGGAGATCCCGGGGAGAAGAAAGAGCGGCAGGGGAAGACCCCGTGACTTCAGAAGGGGCGCGACCACCTCCACGTCAGTGTGACTGCTGTCTCGGGCCCCTCCTGCAAACGGCCTTCTCTTCTCAGGAGCAGAGGCACTCGGTGGAGGGACGTGCGGAGAAGGTTGCAGCCGAGAAGCACGAGCGAACCAGCTCTTGAGGTGAAGCCACAAACACGACGTGGTTTCTAGCTTAAGCTTTCCCCGGTCACGCACGAAGACGCTTACTGAGCGGCTGGGACCATTGTAGAAGGGGGTGACGTGGGCTGCCCAGCTCAGAAAATTCTGGAAGTCATTGCACTGTTCATTTAATGTGAGAGAGTTTTACGTAATGGAAGTTAAGTCCCAATAAAGTCGCTTCGACAGTTTTCCCCCAGGAAGTTGATGAGCTTGTGTAAATGCGGAACGGCATGGTGCCGTCTCACAAGTGGTTACCTACCCTTTACACAAGTCGTGCAGGAAGTTTTCCACCGTCGAGCAGAATTATGCTTGTCCCACCATGCCACGACGCATCTTGGCCGGACCGTAGCAGAACCTCTTATGAATTCTGCACCGGCACGTCCGGTTTGCAAGGCTACGAAAGCGGCCGTCTAGCACGCGCCCCACACTGACATGTGCGGGAGTACGGACACGGGGTGTATTTGTAGAGCCAGGAATAGAACTTTGTACCAGAGGCCGTCCTGCTTCAAAAAATGTGCATTTTCATTTCATAAAAGCCCATTTATCGCTGCCGTGCCCCAGAACGGAAACTGTACCATTGTGAGTCCTCTAGTGGCTTACAGTGGCTTTGGGAAAGACTGATTGCTTCTCAGATGATAGCCTGTGCGACGGGTTCGGGTGTTTGAGTTAGGTGGAGGGCCGGCCGTGGTGATTTAAGTCTGGGTCAGGGGAAAGGGGAAGAGATTTTTTCCATCTACAATAAACGCTTCTCAAAATAAAAGGAAAATCAAATAGAGAAAAAAATGTGATAACATAGGTTTCATTTCGTTTGTCCTTTCTGACTGGTATTCGTGGCCATGATTCTGATTTTCGTGGAAAAGCCAAAGTTCTTGCCATTCTCTTCTTAACGGTTCTGTTTAAATACAGAATTAGTCAGTGGTTTGCCAGGATGGGCGGACTATTAACGAAGTTAATGTCCTTCTAGCTCGTGTATTTTCCCGTAACTTCATCCTAGCCCCTTAGAATGCTGACTTTCCCAGAAAATTCTGAGTTGTACATAGATTGGTAATTCAGTTTCACGTGTTCGCCTCCCGGTGAATACCATTTTTGTCGTCAGTGCCCAGAAGACAGGCATGACTATAAAATGGAGATAATCAGTCATGCCTGCTGGTAGCAGAAAGCCCAAAATAGAGGTTGGGATCATTCCTGTATTTACTTATTTAAATTTTCTACTACCGTTCCCCCAGGACTTAAGAAGGAAAGTCAACGTTAAGAAGTAAAATTAGGAGTAAGTCCGTATCCTAATGTCTCTTTCTGGTTTTCGTCTCTTTCTTTGGAAACCAGAAGAGGTAATGCTTCCCAAAGGAGAATTACCTTCCCAGGTCACTGCTGGCTACCGAGCCGCCCGATCGGACGGTCTCCCCAAACTCTTTCCTGCTCTTGCACTGAGCAAAGCGTAGGAGGCATGTGACCCACGCACGTTTCCTGCGGCAATGGGGCTTCTCCAGACGGCGTGCGAGTGAAAGCTTTGGGTGGAGGTGGCTTATTTTGGAGGAAATCCGGGAAACCGGGTAGGTAGGAGGTGAAGGAAGACGGGACAGAAGGAAGAGGATGAAAACCTGTGTTGTCATCCTGGCTGCCACCGTGGGCGACCACAGTTCCTTCCCTTGGGGACGCGGGAGCACACGCAGGTGGTCTCCTGGCACAGCGGTCCTGCAGGTGGACCGAGCCTGCTCGGGGCCGGGTGAAGGCGCAGGGAAGGGGCCGGCAGACAGAAGTTGACTGTGCGTGTCCTATTTCAGGGCAGGGCAGGGATGGAGATTTGGGACCCTGGGGGGTCGGCAGTGGGTTTAGTCCACAGCCACAGCATTCCTGTTACAGGCGGATTTAGGACAGTTCCAGTCGTGGTTTAAAATCAATAAATGACCCTTGAATGAAAGGAATGCCCACATGAGTGCATTCCAGTCCCCTTCCTGTGTCCCACAGCCATGCTACCTGCAGACACACAGCCTCTCCAGCCTCGCCTGTGACCTTTCCCCTGACACCCCCGTCCCAGCAGCCGCTGGCTTCCTGTGACGTCTGTAGGACTTCTAATGAGCACAGCCCCCAGGCATGGGAGCAAACCACCCAGAGGGACAGTCATACCTACAGAAAATGCACTTTTAGGCTTCCCTGCCATATTTGCTTCTCTTTTTCAGCAAATCGGTGTTTCAGGTTTCCTCAATCATGTCGTCACTCACCAGCGAAAGAATGCGTTCATGTTATGTAAGCAGTGTTGCTACTATAGATTGCTAAGTCTTCGTACCTGTGCCAAAACACTGTTTACAAGTTGGCCGAATTGGGGACAGAGTGCGTCTGCCTTTCGCCGTGACTTCTGTATGTCAGTGTACAGTGACAGAAAAAAAGACTTCTAATTTTCTACGTGGTACAAAGGAAAATATGTTGGGTTTCTTTGTTGTTGTTGTTTTTTTTTTTTTTGCATGTTGCTAAAAGCCGCCAACATTTCTTTGGATGTTTGTGACCAGTCAGTATCCATTTAGCTTTCTGAAATCACAAACGTTAAAGGGAACCTAGAAGGAAGAATGTTAAAAATCCACGTTGCATTGTCATTGAGCTAATACACCGTCTTTAGCGATGATACTCACTTCCCTCCCAGTTCAAGTTTCCTTCTCCATCTCTTGTCTCCATTCCCCACGGGCACAGGAGCCATTCACCAGGAAAAGCAACAGACAGCACTGTTTTCCGAGCTCAGGAGTCCCACACGGGCTGGTGTCCCATGCGTACGGTGCACAGGGTCGGTAAACCGAGAGCAGACGTCCTCTGGGGCCATATAGCTCCCTGCTGCGGCGTGGGGACCCTCGACCCCGCATGCCGCTCCCCGCGGCTGTGTGACCATCCTTTCCACCGCGTGCGACTCCTGGGTGCACGTGTCTGCAAACTGTCGAGTACCTTGAAACCTGCCACCCACAGTGTAGCTTCTGCAGCTTTTCAAACTCTTATGAGCTGTGTGTCTGGATGCTGAAGGGTGATTCCTGTTTTTTGAATGATGGAAGAAAAATGGTCCCAACTGCTGAGTCCGGACAGGAAAAGAAACGCTAAGTATTCGAACCAGCCATCTAATTCGGTTGTCGAATGTGTAAGTAGTTCTACCGTTGCTTTAAAAATGTATGTGTATGTGGTGATTCATTTGTCATCTCCGTGCTGTTTGCATACTGGTTCCATTGGCCACCAAACGTTCAGGAAAGAATGAAACCTTAACCTCCCCAGAGGAAACCCAAATATTCCGTCTTCCGTGGCTAGAAGCGCCCCATGTGATCGTTAATAAAAGGAACTATTTTTGTCCAACACGAACCCTGGCTGTTCACGCTAAGTGATTGATAGAGCTCGCACTGGCCATCGTAGATCAGTAGGAAAAGCTCGCACAGCCTTCCCAGGCCAGTTTCTTCGGAAGCGCGCGTCCTTTCTGCGTTCTGAGACGTGCGTCCACAGAAACTTGGGGAGGTCACACACAGGGAGTGCAGGGCGGCAGAAAGGGTATTGAGATGGGTGAGAAGTGCTCTGATTCAAGCTTGAGCCGGAGGGCTTGGACAGCATTGGTCCACGCTCTACAACATTCAGCTCCATGCTCAGTTTCCCCGTCGGAAACATGGGAGCGAAACTCCAAAATTTATGCCACCAAGTACAAGCACACATTTATAACATTCTGAGACGGTGCCTGTGTCACGTTTCAGGAGCCACTGGTGTCCCTGCTTTTGGGAGACCGGCTCAGGGATAGGCACTGTATGGCCCATCGTCCAAATCTGGCTTGCTGCTTGCTTTTACAGATAACATTTTTTTGGCACGCAGCTCATTTGTAGACGTCTTTTCCCTGCTGCTTCTGAGCTACCGCTGCAGTGTCAGGTGGTTGCCACGGAGACTGTATGGTCTGCAAATCTGGAAGTTTCCTTTACTCAGCCCCCGACCAAAAGACGTTGTCAGTCCCTGTGCTAGACCATTACAATGGACACTTTCCCCACAAAAGGGCTTTGTGTATTTTCCTTCTGTCGGCACTCTGGCCCGTGGTCATGATGAAGACATAGAACATGGGTGGATGTGTGGCATGTGTAGGCTTCTTTGTAGAATCTCAGCTTCCTCTCCCCGCCCTCCTTTTCAGTCTCCCCACTCTGCTGCCACTCTTGACTTGAATGACCTTGGGAAAGTCACTTTACGTCTCTAACCTGAAGACCTTCCCAGTTTCTTAAAAAAAAGTGCCAAATAAATAAATTGTAGAATCCCTTAGGGATTTATTAAAATGTAGCTCTTTACATATATATTTTTTTTTTCACAAGCAGACTTCCAAGTAGACATGTTAAAATTTGAATGCAATGAAGACATCATGCAAACTGAAAGAAAGGGTTCTGTGTGATTCAGCAAAGGGACTATATTTTCCTTTGTGATGCAGGGAGCCATCCCACAAGGCAGGGCATGGCTTGACTATGGGAATTTTCCGACTGACAATGAAATCTCTCCAGATTACAGAGATAGGGCAGGCTGCCGCCCTCCCGGTGTCCGCAGCACATGAACGGACGAATGAATATTTGGTTTACGGAGGACAGTCAGGCCAGTAACCAGGATCTGCCATTGTCTTTTGCTTCGTAACTTGAATTGTGATAGTTTGGGGGTGTCTGGGTTACAGAAGGAGTCTTAGTGCAATGCAGAGGAAGGGGGATGGCCTGGAGTCTCTTATTTCAAGCCCGAAAGAGGTTCCCCTCGGATTTTGCCGTTTACTTTTTGGTCTTGGTAGGATTCTCCCACTCCGGGCGGCGGGATTCCAACCTGGCGGTGGAATCTTATTCGCCTTACAAATCAATGCCGACAGTTAGGAAACGTTTTTTTCCACTCATCTACGCATTTGGCGACTGTTTCCCGAGCGCCGACTACGTGTGTGGGGCCCTCTTCTCAATGCTGGGACTACAGAAGTGAACAAAACGGATGAAACAAGTCTTCTCCTCATGGACCTTTCGTTATCGGGAGCGGAGTCAGACAGCAAAGAAGGCCATAATCAGTCCGTTGCCGTAAGGGCTGTGAGCACAAGGACGCAGAGGGGAGGCCGAGAGGAGCACCCACGTCCCGTGGGACCGAAGGGACGTGCAGCGGAGCGGGGTTGAGCAGCGGCCGTGAATCGCGGAGAAGGCGGTGGGGGTGGATAACAGGAGCGGGGCTTCTTCTTGGCCTCCCATGTCCAGGCTGAGGGAAACTCGTGTCTTTCAGCTCGTGCAGAAAGGAGTCAGGTGCACGCCGCCTGCTTTCCGGCCACCGGGCGCGATGCTTTCCCAGTACTGGCCTGCCGAGAGATCACCTACTTCACAACTGGCCTGCCGAGAGATCACCTACTTCTCTTTTACGTCGAGAATAGCTTACATAAAACGTGTAAATACATATTTATGTATATACAGGAAATACACACATGCAGGACTCCCCATATGTGCTCGTCCCTGTGCGCGTCTTGGGCGCTCCCAGGAGGTTCCTGACCTGGACTGTGTCAACCACCCGGTGGAGAGCGTCATGAAACGTGCTCGGGATTAGGCACTCCCCTGAGAGAGCAACTGTGAAACGTTCTTCTTTTTAGAACACGAAGCGGTCAGCCAAACCTCCAGTCCTTCCTTACCCATCGCAGAGAAAAGCAAGACATTTTTAATAATAATCCATGTTTTCATCATTCCCAGAGCAGGAACGACCCTGACAGTAAGAACATGCGTATTTTTCCCTCGGTCATCTTCGTTTCAAGTTAGATACAACTTCCTTGCGCTTGTGACACAGATGGTATTATAATTCCAATTATTGACGGCATCTCTCTGGTAAGGCGTTTTAAAACGAGACCATCTGTATGTGATTTGCGGTGAGCAGCATCTACGCGTGCTCCCTTGGTGGCGGAGAAGGGAGGTACGACCGTCTAGCTTTGGCATATTTTGTCGTCTTTGTGTGTGTTGTGTATTTAAAATGGGGATTTGTAGAGTCGTCATTCCAGAGCCTCGTCTGTCTCTTGACAGCCGAGAAGGCTTCGGTTCCTGTGACAAGCCAGAAATGCTGACGTGACAAACATGGGTGTTCTCCGTATGTCATCCAATTTGTCATGTAGATGTAGCAAAAAGGCTTTATTTTTGCTGATCTCCCTTTGGGGCTCTGGTGGCATCAAGGACCAAAAGCTCCAGGACCACTAAGATGAAAGCTGTTACTGGTGCGAGCTGCGTTTCTATCTTTGTCTCCCCAAAGTTTTCACAGGCAGGTCTTCTTTGCTGACCTGTGGAATGTCAGCCAGCCTATATGGAATTTCACCATGTTTCGGAAATGATCTTATTTAGTCGAGAGAGTGTGTGTAAATGGGGAGGGGCAGAGGGAGGGGTACAGGGAGAAAGAACCTCACACAGACTCCGTGCCGAGCGCAGAGCCCGGCGCAGGCTGGATCTCGTGACCGTGGGACCGTGACCTGGGCCACAACCGTTAGTCAGACGCTCGACAGACTGAGCCACACAGGTGCCCTCAGTGTTACCATGTCCTATCTAGATGCATCAGTTCTGGTACAACGAAAATTCAGCTGGGTTATAGTTGTATGCAAATGCCTACAGGGAGCCTTCTGGATTGCAAATGTGGCCCAAAGAAGCGCATCTTACTGTTTTGTGTCCGTGTCTTCATGTGAGGCTTACTGAGGGGTTGTATGTGTTCGCAGCTTTTCTCCGCGGAAAGGGCAGTGCTCATCTGTTGGCCTCGGAGTCCTTAGCCATCCGAGGATACGGGTTTTGCTGTCGTCTCGGTATTTGAGTTGCTTTGTCTTTCTCCTGCATTTCAGACCCGTCTGCACCCCCCGCCCCGGCCAACCTCCGTCTTGCAAATTCCACCATGAACAGTGACAACACCATGACCGTGGCTGTGGTGTGGGACCTCCCCGAGGAACCAGACATCCCCGTGCACCACTACAAGGTGTTTTGGAGCTGGACAGTCAGCAGCAAATCCCTTGTCCCCACGAAAAAGAAGCGGAGGAAGACCACGGAGGGGGTAAGTGGGCACGAGAAGGAAGAGTGGCGTCTTCCGGCGCGGTGTCCTTGAACTCAGGGCCGCGGATTGGAGGGTGGCCTCTACTGAGCTCAGGGAAGGAAAGGGTGAAGGAAAGCTTCCCGTCCCTCTCGTTTGGGCCGAAGACGTGCAGAGAATGGAGGGCCAGCCCAGAAGTGTGGCCTTTGGCTTTTTAGGTGAAAACAGCCGAATTTAGCTCATTGAGCGACTCCTATCCAGATGGCAGCTGCAACTCCATAGAGGCAAGAAACAGAAGCCATTTGGTATTGACTCTCCAGTCATAGGAAATGATAGAACTCAAGACGTCCTTTACCTTTAGGTTTTCTTTGAGATCCTTATAAGTCGACGAGCAAAAGTCTGCATCTTTCCTGTCATGGCCGATTTTCTTCTGTAAGCTAATCAACTCAGAAAACACATGTTTGACAATATATTGCTCTCATTGATTAAAAGAACTTGGAATGGTTTATTTTCCAGATGCCAAGAAGTAAAGTCTCCACTGAACCATTTTCTGAAATGAGATTTCTATGGGAGTGAACATTTGGCATTGTGTGAAATTCTTAGTGCACGGAAAGGAGTTCCTTGGTTTCCTTTATTGTTGTTGGAAAACTTACATGAACAACTACCCCCTTATGTAAGTTAGAAAACTTACATAAACTTGAATTTAAAAAGCTGATTTCTATAAAAAAATACATCTGAAAATATTTTTTTAAAAAGATAAGACTTTTTTTTTCCCCAGCAGTGAAGATTCCAGTTTCTGTGCCATTTAAATTATAAAAAAAAAAAAAAAAGAAAGAAAAAAAGAAATGTGTCCAAAAGTTCGCATCCTCGATATTTAGCTGATACCTATTTTGGGTTTATTTTTAAGAAACTTTCTGACAGTTCTGTCCTTTATTTTCAAGGACTTCGCAGTAAGTGGTCATTGGCAATGCATGCTTATCTCATAGGACAACTTAAGGGAACTCACGTTGTGGGATCACAGGGGTTCGAAGCAAGATGTGACCTGTGCAGGGGTTACGGTGTGCACACATGTGTGCACACGGGTACACACCCAGACACCATCAGTCAGCAAACAGCATCACAGGTTACTAGGAAACTTTGCAATATTTATTTCTATTTTATATCAATTAGATAAATAAAATGTGAACAGCAAACTTGAAATCATTAATAGGCCAGAGTAGCCAAAACCGTAGGTCACTGTCTTATCGGTGACTTTCATTTTTGGATTCAATGAAGGCAAGCTCTCGGTTTTGTGGAACCCTAAATTCTCAGTGTTAAAATCTATCCAGTTAACGTTAGGATTGGAAACTGGGAAAATCCAAAAGAACACAAGCAATTATGACATTTTCCTTTTGGGGATTCGTGGGTTCCCTTCACCTAAGATACCATTGCAATATCCTTGGTAAATAAGGAGAAAGGGGGATTTTTTTTCAAGGTGTTCTTTCAAAAGTGTATTTTTCTTTTTTACTCTGGAGATGAGTTCAGGGAGAGAGCTGAGCAATCCAACAGGAAACCCTCTTTAGAAGAAAGTGAGAGTCAGTAGTTTATGCAGATACCCTGTGGGTTGCAGAGGGAGACCGTCCATCACGAGGCCCCGAGAGGGCTTTTCTCGTTGGCGGGACCAGGGGCAGAGCCCGGGCCCCACGGAGTTCCGACCAGTCTCCCCTCAAACACCCGAACAGTGGCACAAAGCCGTCTGTCATTTTCAGTGGGCGATATGCGCACGGGCCTGGCCAGCCCACGGAAAGCCCGTTCTCTCGCTGAAAAGAGATCTCACAAGACCCGAAGTCATGGTCGGGATGCTAAAAGTCCACTGTGGGATTTAAACACGGGAGTTACCGACGTGACTCTGTGTCTGACGGTCTCAGGCTGCACCGTCCGGCCGCAAGCGCCCTACGCGCGGAACACGGGAGGCCTCTCCGCCGGGATGTGTGGCCTGCGGGGGCCTGCCTCAGGGGACGCTTCTAGTCCTTCCTAAATGTCACTTTACATCATAATTACAAGTGTCCTTACACACAGACACTTGGATGAGGGCTTGACACTAACAACGATGATGACTAAAAAGTGTTCAAGCATTTTCTTAGGATGATTTTTCTCACTAGCTTTGAAATTCCCTCAGAGAAGATTTAAAAGAAAAACTAAAGAAACAGGGAATATCGGCTCGTAATTTTTCCAGGTATGTTGCCAACATGAGCTTGGTCAGCGTGTGACAAACCCATGTCTTTCCTCTGGGGGGTGGTGTCTAGCGTGGGAGGCGACAGAATTATCCACTCCTATGGTATTGGAAAGGATCCAGTAATCCGATAAGGAACCATTTCCCGAAAAAGAGGTCTGGCCCTTCTGTGCAATGTGTCTGGATGCCGAGTAAAACCGCATTCTCAGACGCTCAGGAGGGAGAGATGGTGCAGGCTTAGGGAGCAAGGCCTCCGGCGGCGGCCGCCGGGCTCTGGGACGGAGGGGCCGGGCAGGGCAGGCTCATAACGGGCTTCGCGCCTCTTGTCTCCCGTGCAGTCCCGGCATTCCGTGCTCCTGGACCGACTGCAGCCGGACTGCGGCTACAGCGTGGAGCTGCAGGCCATCGCGTACTGGGGCCAGACGCGCCTGAAGGGGGCCAAGGCCTCCCTGCACTTCACGCCCACGCACGCCACCGGCCACAGTAAGTGCCGCGAGCTTGTCGCCGTGGGGCGGGCATGGAAGCTGGGTCTCGCCCGGATGGGGGGAGAGGGGCGGAGAGAGGGAGAGAGAGGTTTCCTGAGCCGGGAAATGTTGCAGGCGGCAAAGCCACAGTGCCGAGCTAGGCGGCCGCTGGGACGACCGTGTCGGACAGGGTCACCCCGGAAGCTTCTCCTCTGGTTATGTACTGAATATGCGATATATTGGTGTCATAATGGAAATCTAACAAGAAAACTTAAGTCTCCGAAAAACGTGACAGGTGGCACGACCCATTTCCACGGCTGCTCCACGGCTGCTCCCCGGCGCTCACCCTCCCTTCTGGAGCGGCCGCTGCACATCCCAGGGACTATGTCATTCCCCTGTGCAGTTTCCTAGTTTCCGCTTTTCCTAAACTAGTATGTCAGCCCCACACTGTGCAAAGAAAAAGGAGAGTCCCACGTGGCACTCGTATCGGAGCCAGAAAATAAGTGACTTTCTTGTGTCCGGCTTTGTTCACGAGCGGGGACAGGTTAGAGCCGCAGCGGCAGGGTTTCCGGGAACGGGCACGTGAGAGGAGCGTGTGATGTCGATTCCCTGGGAGCAGAGCCCCGAGCTGTCCGCCTTTCATCCTGGGTCTGGTGCGGAGGGTAGGAGAGCGGGCGGGAAGCTTGTCTGAATCTCGGAAAGGCGAGCCCAGCTCTGCGGAGTTAGACACAGTCATCGCCCGTGATCACCTTCCCCCGCCTGGAAACATCAGATTGAACGAGCAGCTGTTTGATATGAGGCTTTCAAAAAAGTTCTAGAAACAGAGCGTCCTAGCTGCCTGAGAAACCAGCTCTTTGGAGAGTAAATGTGTTTGAAACAGTCTTTGATTTTTCTGTATGACTCGGGGCATAACACAACTTTTACCTGAAACTTCTCATAGAAACTTTTCTATATGTTTAGCAACTTAGGCTGATTTTTTTCAGTCCTGTCATCCATCTGTTCCTCTCCCTGAAGGGCTTGGCTACGAATTGCATGACTGTGTCTAGTGATGGGGATGCCTACGTGCTGGACTCTTACGTAGGAACACAGGTGGGCTACAGAGTGTGTACAGTGCACAGACCAGGAGGGCACGTCTAGCTTGTGTGTCATGCGTTCGTGTACATGTGCTCGTGCACGCACACACACACACCACATGCACACACGCACACACACACCCCACACACATGCACACACATGCACACACACACAAGCACACACAAAGACACATGCATATGCATGGACACCCAGGTGCACGCACATTACTGCAACACTAGATGCATTCCGAGCTTTGCCTCATGCTGAGTTTGGAAGATAACCATGTCCACAGGATCACGGGAGCCTCCATCTGTTGCACACGCAGCCGTGGGGAACCATGGAAGCAGAAGACACGAAGGTGGTGGTGGGAAAGGAGAGCCGGGAAGAGCGGGGAGGGCGCCGTGGGCCCCCGAGGCACAGGCATGAGCCTGTATGAGTGTGGAGTGCGTGTGAGCTCCGAGACCAGAAAGAGCACCGAGCGTGCAGAGAGGTCACACTCCTCCCATGGGGGAGAAGGAAGGAAGGAAGGGGAAGTGGGAGGCAGGGCTATCCCTGAGTCACATCCAGGACTGTGTGCTGCTAACTCCCCCTGTCTGCTGGCCGGACCACAGCCTGAGTGCCTGAGCCCCGTACTCAGCTGTTAGCTTGGCACTTGCACTTGGAGGGTGAACAGACAGGTGCTCAGACAGCACACCTGCTCCTCTCCCGGGCTCTCCTGCGGTAAACAGGTGCTCAGATGGCACGCACCTGCACTTCTCCTAGGCTCTCTTACAGTTAACAGGTGCTCAGACTAACAGGTGCTCAGCACACCTGCTCCTCTCCCGGGCTCTCCTGCGGTGAACAGGTGCTCAGACTAACAGGTGCTCAGCACACCTGCACGTCTCCCAGGCTCTCCTGCTACAGATGGCTTCACGCTTCATCCTTCTGTTCACACCAGAGCCCAAGACACCTTCTTCAGGATTCTCTTTCCTTTTTCCAGAAATTCCATTCTTTAAAAAGCTGTTCTGTCTCTAATGTCAGATTGCACGTGGGATCTGTGAAATTCTTTGCCATGTTTAGGCCATTCCCACCTCTTTCTTAGAATTAAAATACTGTCCTGATTTGTATTTGTCTCCACTCTCTCTTAACTACCCGTTTTGTAGATGGCAGCCAACTCGTGCTTTAGAAATACTCACCATGTAACGGGTCTGTCCCCCTTCTGCCTTCTGTCACCTCTTCGTCTTCTCCCCAGAGTTCGTCCTTTACTGCTTCCCCGTTGTCCCTCCCCAGCTTCCTGCTCAGACCCAAATCCTTCAGACCTTTTGTTCGTCCGGGACTTCATCCGTCGTGTAAAGTAAGTTTGCCTTTTCGTGTCCTGGTTGTTCCGGTAAACAACAGTCCTTCCCCATGAGAAACTGGCGTGGGCCTGCAGACTGCCATGACTCGTGTGCGCTCCCACAGCTGAGAACAAGGAGGGAAAGACTCTGAGCTCAGCGTCCCCTTCGTAGAGGGCTCTCCGGGGCGTCCCTCACCGGGGTCGCGCCCGGACGGAGCTGCGTGGAGGGCTCTGGGGTCCCGCAGAGGCACATCTGGGTTTCTGCACTCCGCCTGCTGCAGCCCCCACAAGCCGGCCGGGGTCAGTGAGACGCTCTTTGACTAGCTTTGTCTCCCACTCTCTCCAGGATGGTCGTAGACCTGCCTCTCTCACGCCTTCAGCCATATGGCACAGAGAGTCCGCTTCCTCGGTCTCGGAAAGACACGTGGTTCCCCGTAAGCAGGAACACATCATGTCTCTCTTCCCCGTCCTCTGTAGCGCGAGGTGGCAGACTCCACCGTGGGTCGAAGCCCAGCGCTTTCCGACTCGGCAAAGAACATCCACCGACCACGTTGGTCACGGAGCAGAGCTGTGTCCGTGGCTGTGCCCCACGTGCACACACAGCGAGCCGTGTCACTGCGTAAGCAGGAATCCGTCTGTGACCTGCAGCCAGAGTCAGCCTTCATTGGACAGGCTGATTCTGAGCGCTAATGTCACTTTCTAGTCCCCTTGTAAAATTCGATAATGTTTCACCCGGTCAGTGAGGGGTTACAACAGTGAACCCCTCAGAGGCCACTTTATTCTGAGGATTAGCTGATGCCTCTCCTGTGGCTTCAGAAAGGTGACAGAGGAGAAGGAAGAAACGCATCGTTCAGATGACCTGGCCCGACGCATGTCGTTTGGTCTCAGGGTGTTCTGTGGAAGAGACAGGCTTCGCCAAGGACTGTGCAGGACGTAGCTGGATGTTTGTCAGGATGTCACATGCTCGTGTTGAAATGCAGTCTCGTGAAGGTTAGGATATGACTTTTCTTCCTTTTGAAAAATATTTATTGATTTAACAGAGAAAGAGAGAATGAGAGAAGAAGCAGAGGGAGCTGCAGAGAGAGAGGGAGAAGCAGGCTTTCTGCCGAGCAGAGAGCCCGATGTGGGGCTCGATCCCAGACCCTGAGATCGTGACCTGAGCTGAAGGCAGGCGCTTAGTGGACTGAGCCACCCAGGCGCCCCTAGTGTATGCCTTGTATAAGAACACTGTAAATTTCATCGCAGACCAACGAGAAGTAAAGAGTAATTACAACTTTATGGTATAAGCAAGGGAAATGACATCGTACAGGAAAGAGGGTAGTAAATGCCAGCATGTACGTTCCTTTTTGAGTTACATTTTCCCAGGTCTACAGGCCACTAGGCGTTTCAGTGACAAAAACCTCCACGTAAGCAGAAGCTGACTGCTCACGTCGTATCATAAAAGGGCCCCTCGGAGGAGGAAGGATGTAAGACGCCTGGCTGGAAATGCAGCTTGCTTCTTGGAGGCAGGAGGACCCTTGGTTTTCTAGCTGCGTGAGGCAGCTGGGGTTTTCTTCTAGTTTTTCAGAGGAAATACGCTGAGGCACTTGATCTGTAAAATTAGAATTTTGACGTTTGAAAAAATAGCGAAGTTGTTCTGTTGTCTCACCTTTGGGACCGGTAGAGTATCCGTCAGACCTCCGATCTTTTCACAACACGTAGAAATGATTTTAGTGCATTTGGATTTGATACTGACGGAGCAGGACTGGCCCTCAGAGCCAGGGCCACGCTCCCAGCACGGAGCCCCACATCTCTGTCCTTTCCGTGTGGCGTGGGGCTCGGCAACCCTACGCGTCTGTGCATTTCAGTAAAGCAACCACATTTCCATCTTGAGATACAGAAAACTACATCCTTATGTGTATGTAATGGAAAGCAAAACTGTCTGTAGGACATAATAAAGTACAAAGGCAAAATTCACGTAGAGATTAGCCACAGTATCTAAACTTTTGCTTATCCTTTGGCAAATTCCCAAAGTCACAGATTATTAAAGGGGTTTCACAAACCATAAGTTCATTTGTGAAAATCGTTAAGTCCTTAGTTACTAGTTAACAGATACTTTTGCTCTGACCAGCAGGATTCTTGACGTCCGTGGTGATCAGGAAAGGGATGAGTTTTGCCCGAGAGCCCTGTGGGTTCTCTGTCTGGACCCAGCCCGTGTGCGCTCCAAGCTCTCTGTGCTGCTGGTTCTCGCTGGGGGATGACCCAGCGCCTCTCACGAAGGAGCCGGTGAGGCTGTGCTTTGTAATAAGCAGAATGAGTTTGGTCTTCAGCGGGCGCGGAAGCTGTGTTCCTTCTCCCGGACCTGACTGGCCATCTCCTCACCGGGCTCATCCTGACGTACACCCTTTTATAATAAACTGGGAGGTAACGTAGTGAGGAAATGTTTCTGAGTTCTGTGAGCCACTCTAGCAAAGTAATCAAGCTTACGGAGTTGGTTGGAACCTCCACTCGATAGCAGGTAGTCAGAGTCACAGGTGACAACCTGGAATGGTGACGAGTGTCCGAAGCGGGGCACAGTCCTACAGGACTGAACCCTTACCCGGGAAGAGCCGGTGCCATCCACAGGTAGATGATGTAGGCGGTATCAGAGGGGGACACCCCCTCCTGACATGGATGGTGTCTGTAGGGGATCTGATGTCATCTTAGGGTACACGGTGTCAGAGGGGGACACCACCCTACACATGGACGGTGTCCATAGGGGATCTGATGTCTGAAGGTAGATGGTGTAGACGGTGTCAGGGGGACACCCCCCGATGTAGATGATGTCTGTAGGGATCTGATGCCGTCTTAGGGTACCTGGTGTCAGAACTGAGCTGAATTGTAGGACACCCCGCGTGTACCTGAGACTGGCCGGTGGTGTGATAAACCCTCAGTACACACGTTGGATTTGGAGCCTCACAAATGGTCTTGGGAATCCAAACATTTATTTCAACTGTTGAAAGCACAACATTGTATGTTAGAAGCTGAGTAACTAAGTGTCCCTTCCCTTTGAATCGTTGTGTAGGTGATCCTGGCGTGTGCTGGTGTGAGGAGTGGTGGGTGGTCAGTGCAGGTGCCCCGCACGTTCCCCGGGCTCCTATCTTCCCAAGCACGCGCACTTCACGGGCCTGTCGGGAAAGGTTCTTATCGGTGGACCTTATGTGCTTCTCAGTCTGGTCTCCTCCCCGGGGCTCCTGGGACTCAGAAAGCAGAAAGTTTGGTGGAGTTTCTAACCATGCCGCTTCCCAAACTACGCATTGGGTAAAGGAGAGATGTGAGGTCAGTGGGACGTTCTGACATCCTTATTATAAAATCCTGTAGCTGATAGCTTGGCTCCGTGAACAGAAGTGGCCCATGATGCATGGGAGAGCGGGAATCTGACGGAAGACGGTGCTGGGGTTACAGCTCACTGTTGCCACGGCTGCACTTGCGTACAACTGGACACTCTTTTTAGTGTTTTTGAACCCCATGGGTTTTCGTTTTGAATATGTGCAGGCTGATGTCACTATCTCGGGGGTCTGTGAACGGTGGCGCACGGGCCACATCCGGCCCACCGCCTGGTTTTGTAAATAAGACGGTAGTGGCCCACGGCCACACCCCTTGTTTGCAGATCTTCTGTGACTGCTTTTGAGCCATCAGGAGAGCTGAGGACTGGGGTGGGACCACGCAGGCCCCGAAGCCAAAACGTTCGCTGTCCAGCCCTCAGTTGAGGGCCAACTAACAGCTGGTTGACCCTGCTCTGTTTCATAGGATGACAGTAAGAACAGAAATAGTCATGCAGAGCCGACAGGTGGGGACAACGGAAGGACAGAGTGTCATACCCAACATGGACAAGGAGAGCCAGCCAGTGCATTCTGAGCGAACGGGGTCTGGAACCTAGTGACGAGGGAGCCTGACAGACTGTAGGGATTAAGAATGGCACAAATGGGAAAGCTGCAGCTGCATGAAAACAGGCAAACGAAGAGAACAGTAAAAGCAGAGCCGGTTACGCCATGAAACCGTGATGGGGAAGAAGTGGCCTGGCCTAGGGTGGTAGAAATCACACTTTGAATCACTTCATTTGGAGGAATGTTTCCTGGTGTCTTGTTCGATTAGAGACTTTCTCTGGGTGCCACTGCTTGTGGGACATCCGAGCTTGGGGTCATTCGGAATCACGTTTACATCGTCCTGGCTTTGCAATATGTACGCGGTAAACACAGTATTACACTGACAGTGGGGGAAAGTCATGTTAAGAAATAGCGGTGAATATGCGTAGGGACCCAGTCTCGTCTTTCCTGAAGCATTCTACTGCAGCCGTCCTAGCCTCTTCTTGTAACTCGTTTCCACAAACACCCTTTGACTGCTTTTCCAAAGCATAGGCACCACTTGCTTGTGAGATGCAAACATCTCCTTCTCTCCTCCCTGTGCTCCCGCCCTGTGCGCGAGCCTTTGGGAGCACTCTCTACTGTGTGCGGGATCACTCGCACGTGTGTCCACTCCCGAAGCATGAGCTTTGTATCTGCAGTCTCTGGCTCACTACCAGACACTTGGGAAGGGGTCACTAAGTACTGACAAGAAACAAGGAGTGAGTGGATGGACGGATGGATGCACCCTTCAGCTCCACTCCCCGTCTGATGTGTCCTTGCACTGCATTTGCTGACCCTTAGTATTTCACGTACAGAGTCGATTGAACATGTAGGGCCTTGTCTGGGCATGGATGTATAATGCTGGGATGTCCAGGAAGAGCTCTCTGTATTGTTCTCAGGCCACGTGGTTTTTTCTTTCTTTTTTTTAATTAACATAGAATGTATTACTTGTTTCAGGGGTACAGGTCTGTGCATCGTCAGGCTTACACACTTAACAGCACTCACCATAGCACATACCCTCCCCAGTGTCCACAACCCAGCCACCCTCTCCCTCCCCCGCTCCCCCGCTCCCCCCAGCAACCCTCAGTTTGTTTTGTGAGATTAAGAGTCTCTTGTGACTTGTGTCCATCTCTGGCTTTGTCTTGTTTCATTTTTTTCCTCTCTTCCCCTATGATCCTCTGTCTTGTTTCTCAGATTCCTCATATCAGTGAGATCATAGCATAATTTCTTTCTGTGATTGACTCATTTTGCTCAGCCTAATACCCTCTAGTTCCATCCACGTTGTCGCAAATGGCAAGATTTCCTTTCTTTTGATGGCTGCATAGTATTCCGTTGTGTATATATCCCCACATCTTCTTTATCCATTCATCTGCTGATGGACATCTAGGCTCTTTCTCTAGTTTGGCTATTGAGACCATGAGGTATTTTCATAGTATTTCACTTATTTTCTTTACAACTACAAAAAATATATATAATGAGGAATACCATTCACACCTGTTTTTTAAGTCAGAGCAGCTGTCCCACCCGGCGACTGTGTACTGATCACAGATTACTTTTGACCCAGAAATCACAGTGTTCTACTCTGTTGCAGAAGAGCAACTTGGGAAAACGGGAAAGAGCACGACGCACGTGCAGCCCCCTTTCCAACGACGACGGCCTGCGCGGCTCCTGGAAATCGGAGCCCCCTTTTATCAAGACAACCAGCTGCAGGTGAAGGTCTACTGGAAAAAGACTGAAGGTACACAAGTGCTCTCTGACAACCGGTTATCTGTGTTAAGTGCCCAGTGACACCAGGGGGCTAGTGCAAGAGTCAGGGTCGAACCATGGTGTGCCTAGTTTTTTGGTTTTTTTTTTTTTTCTTTTTTAAGATTTACTTATTTTACAGAGAGAACATGAGGCTGGGGAGGTCAGAGGGAGAGAGAGAATCTCAAGCAGATTCCATGCTGAGGACAGAGCCCAGTGTGGGGATGGACCTCACGACCTTGAGATCATGACGTGAGCTGAAACTAAGAGGCAAATGCTTCACTGACTGAGCCACCCAAGCGCCCTGCCATGGGGGTGACATAAAGGGAAACAGAACCCGAACAGAACATTTAGATCCTTTTTTTTTTTTTTTTTTTTTTTTAATTCCTGCTGTTCTGAAGTCTGAGTGAACTGCTGCTTCTCTCCCAGGAACCCATACCATGTTTAGAAATCAGCATCGTCGGTCAGCCGGTTGCATTTTGTCATCTCAGGGATGTTAGCCTGTCTTCACTGCTTTCCCAGAAGGCCAATCCTGTCTCCAAAACACTCAAAATACTCATTATTCCGCCCTATAAAGTTTTGTTCTAAATGAGTTTTTCGTTTAAAAAAAGACACACAACCCAAATAATTTGGGAAATAGAGAAAGAAGTCACTTATTTCAGTATGGTCTCCTAGAAACAGTATTTTGGCAGATGTCTTTTCAAAAGTTTCCTACACTTCTGTTCTTCCTTCAGTTGTTTTATACACACACACACACACACACACACAGGTCCATATATGTATGTAAAACATACACATTTTCATATAATGTAGGAGCATTCTGCACTATCCTGTATTTCTGTTGCCCTGTTTAACTCACTTCTGTGTACGGACACACCACAATATCCTAATACACCATCATCCCACTACAGCAAAACTCCTGGGTGTCTTCAGAGTTTCCATTTTATAATTAATACTGCAAGCCAGATTTACCCTTGGAATTAATTCTGTTTTGAGGATTTATTTGAATAGCTGTCTTTAGGATAAATTCATTTTCTTTATTCTAAAGATTTTTGCGTGCATTATCGAACTAGTATTTTTGGAATTATTTGATGTACATTTCCATGTCTATCACTCATATGCTTGGAAACAAAGGAAAGACAGATTGTTTCCAGAGTTCACTTTTAACAGTTCTTCAAGTTCTCCTGAAGTACGGTGTTACACAGAACGTTGGTGTTGGAGGGCCGCCTGGGTGACTAAGTTGGTTGAGCGTCTGACTCTTGATCTCAGCTCAGGTCTTGGTCTTAGGATTGTGAATTCAAGCCCCACATTGGAACCCATGCTGGGCACGGAACCTACATGAGCCAAAAAAAAAAAAAAAAAAAAAAAAAAATATTGGTGCTGGGGTTCTTTTTGTTCCAGAATTTTTTTCTAAGGTGCTGACATCCATTCTGCAGCTAAAATAATATTACAATTAATATTAATGTCTTATGACTCTCATACATTAATTAAAACTAAATTCCATTTATTCAATATTATTTATTAAAAGTTATTCATTCATATATCCCTATTCATAAGCATAAGTTTTAGGATCATTATTAAATTACAAAATTAATTTGATCTATTATGTTTACTGATTTTAGGTTAAAACTGTATCAGTAGTAAAACATTAATATTGAAACTATAAATATATAATGGAATACAAATGTACGCATTGAGAGTACATCTTAAGCATACAAGAGCATGAAAACATGAACGTATAATGAAATACAAATGTCAGCATTGAGAATACTTCTTAACCGTACAAGAGCAACCACTGCCTCCGTGACCTCTAAACTTGAAGATCTGTCTTGCTGATATTTGAAATGTTTATCACTTGGAACCATACCGCGCACATGGGGCCTCTCGAGTGCACGAGATCCAGGGAGCGGGAAACGACCTCATTCTGTTGGGGAAGCCATACTTCATGCAGGGCTAGTCTGCCCTAGCCCTGTGTGGAGCTCCACCGATGGGTCTTTTTAGCCGGGGCTGAGGATTTAGTTTGCCCCGGTGGGGGGCTCTGCAGCACAGGGCTGCTGGGAACACAGGTCTTTGATGCACATGTTCTCCCGGACAAGGGGGATCATGGGTGACTGGAGCATGTAGAGCTTTGGAAGACATGACACTTTCTCACAGTGGTTGCAGCTTCCATTCCCACTCTCAGGGCACGATCGTCCCCGGTGCACCCCCCCTCTCTCTGCCACGTAGAGTTTCCATCTTTTGAGTTGAGCAGTTCTGGGACCTGCGTCTCGATGGCTCCATGCTGTTTGATTGAGTTTTTAAGCTGTTCAGCCGCACTGTCCGTCCTGCAGGAGGACTTTACACGTTGCATATAGGTGTCACCTGCCGGTTCCCTGGTTTCAGCGTTTTCTCCTTGTGTGAGCGATCCTTCCTTCCTTCCTTCCTTCTTTCCTTCCTTCCTTCCTTCCTTCCTTCCTTCCTTCCTTCCTCAGTGCTTCTGCGTTGTAGAGGGGACCCATTCATCATTTTGTTTCTCTGGGTGACAGCTCTTGCTGTCCTGGTTAAGGATCTTTGCTTACACAGGGTCACACAGATCCTCCCCTCACGTCCTGGAACTTGGACCGCTTCATCCTTCTCTCTGGGGCTGTCTTTCCGCCTGGAACTGAGTTTATGTGTCGGGCTCACTGCTCCTTTACGCTTCTGTCCCTCCTGAGCTGCAGCTGACAGAGCAGCCTTTATTTAACGAGGACTCTCCCCAAATCTCTGGGCTGCCGCCCCAGCCCTACATCACAAATATGGGCAACTTATCTTTTCAATGTTCTGTGGAGTCATTTGGCATTTTTCCCCTCCCAACTTTCTGGCATTGCCACGTTGTCTTAACTACTATAAATCTGTAAATATTTTTAATCATAGTTCTTCAGTTTTACTTCATTTTCAAGTTGTCTTGACTGTGTTGCGTCCTTTGTGCTTTTATATCCGTGTTTATATTAATCTGTCAGTGCCCACAAAAACCTTGTGAGATCTCTGTTCAAATTACAGTGAACATATGGTAACGACTGAGAATTCACATCTTAAAAATCTCGACACTTGACGTATCACTTTATTCCAGTTTTTAAAGTTTTCTCTCAACAGTGATTTATAATGTGTAATGCAGAGGCTATAATAGTTCTAATAGGATTATTCTAAGGTGTTTGTGTTTATTGCGATCTCATTCCATACATGCACACTTTTCCTCAGTTTTATTTTCTAACTGTGGCTGTCATACAGATAAATACATCCTCTTTCAATGTCTTGATGCCAAATCGGACTCTCTTTTGTTATATTCCCTTGCTCACTGCATTTCCTTTGATGATTCTTTCCCATTTTTCCATAAAAGCAACCATGTAGCCTGTGCATAATGAGAATGTGATATTTTCCTTCCCAGACCTGGGACCTTTTCCTTCTCTCCCTTGCTGTAACGCTGACTGTGACGTTCAGTGCGGGACGCCATAGGAGTGATCCCTGCAGGCGTGACGTTTGTTTTTTATTTTTGACTCCTTCATTTGTGTTTGTTCAAAGCGGAGATGAAGCAGAAGCACTGCTTTCTTTTCTTCCTCTTGGTTATTTGGTTGAAGATCTACTAGTAATTCTGATTACATGGAAACAAGTTAATGGTATTGATGGCTGAGGAAAGTCACTTTTCTAAACATCTGTTAGGAATTATTATATGTAAAACACTGCACGCTTGTAAACTACTATTTGAGCCACAATAACATGGAGTTTAAGAATACGGCCTTTAAACCGAGATATATTTTATTTAAAAGCCCAGGTGAACCACTCACCAACTGTGTGGTGTCAGGCAAATGACTCCCCACTCAGCACATCAGTTTCTCGTCTATAAAGAGGGAGTAACGGTGCCCATCTCACAGGGGCGGTGGGTGATGTAATGGGACCTGTGTGCATGTGTGCATGAACACAAGCGTGTGCAAGTGGACCTAACGGATTTTATGTCCATATGCAAGTATCTGCTGTTTTTACCTTCTCCAGCTTTATGGAGGTAGAATTGCCCTAGAACATGGTGCATATTTGAGGTGCACAGCGTGACGACTGGATGTACGTATCTGCCATGATCGGATTTGCACAATAAGGTCATTGAGCACCTTAACCCCAGGCGTGATGTCTGATCATAAGATTTCAGTAGACACACTTCACCAGATGAACAAAATCCCCTACTGCTTTTTCCTTTTTTTTTTTTTTAAGATTTTATTTATTTCAGAGAGAGAGTGTGCACGAGTCGAGGAGGGGCAGAGGGAGAAGCAGACTCCCAGCTGAACATGGAGCCCAACACAGGGCTCAGTCCCAGGACCCTGGGATTATGACCTGAGCTGAAGGCAGACGCTGAACCAACTGCGTCCCCCAGGTGTCCCATCCCCCATTGCTGTTATCTGCAGTGTTTTTCTCATGGATTCATATTGATTTTTATCAAATATTCTTCTTGAAAGTAATGAGAAGGTCAAGGACTTTTTCTTATTTATTGTATTAACATGATGATCTAAAGGGAAAATGATAGACTGTGTCGTAGGTTTGTTGTGGGAATTAAATGAGAGTACACATACCCGTGCTTGGGGACAGTATCCAGCACAAAGTAATCACCCCACAAATGTCAGGGTTCTTACGGGGTTTCCTGTAGATGGAGCCCTGAAGGCTGTCCCACGGGCAGAGGGGAAACAGGATGCCAGGAAGGAGGTCGAGCGCCTCTGATCTAGGCACTTCTTGGGGCTTTAGGACCAGCTCTGTTTTCCTCCTTTGCAGACAACAAGGTATGATACTTTCACAAATGGTCTTGTGATTGATTTGCAACCCAAATGCGATGAATTCTAAGCATTCCGTTTGGCAGATGAAGTGGGATTAACCATCACTGCCCTCTGTCTGTGGCAGGAAATAGTTAATACTCCCATACAGCTCAAGACTTGGTTCCGTGGTCGGAACGTGGGTTGAACTGGAACAATGGGGCGGCAGTGACTTTGCTGTTGGCGT